AACTATTGTTGATTGATTCCATGGGAGACTTGGTGAAATTCGGATCTCAAGAAGATAATGGGTGCGGTCATTATGGGAAATCCTGATAGGAGATCTTGCGGGATTGTATTCTATTAGGTCAATGGTAGTCATATCTCAAAGGGGATCGAGTGAAGGTCAAAATCTTATGATATCATTGATGGATATCATTGAAAGGAAATCCTGGTAGGAGATCTTGAGGGATCAGATTCTATTGAGTCAATGAACGTTATATCTGGTTCGGATCACTGAATGTGTCATTGTGTGTTAGTCATTGACGGTTTCCCCTGCAAGTGTAATAAGCTTGGTTATAGTGGATTAAGTTTTTGGATAAGGCAAAATCATCCTTGCAGGGACGGACAGGAGTAGCCTAGTTAACGTTGAACCTGGATAAAATACATGTGTCCTTTTCTCTTCATTGTCTTTATAGCTATTATTATTTGAGTGCTAATAATTTCTAAAGGGGGATGATTTCTATGAACACAATTCAACCCTTCCCCCCTTTCTTATGTTTTCTCTACCTTTAAGTGAGTCTTGTGTAGTGTTGTTGCTTTTTGTATGCAACATCTTAGGGGGAGCATGATTGTCTGGGTCTGCTGTTGTTACTACTGTTGTTGTTGTTGGAAGTTTGTGTGTAGGATATCCTACCGAATATTATAACATCTTGTCTGTTGTGTCTTGTGGCTGGTTTTATGGGAGTCCAGGCTTCTAGTATTATGAGTTTTATATGTTGCTTCTGCTGCATGATCTTCTAATAAGCAATCTTCAGGAAAAGTTTCTTCTTCTGCTGGTTATTTGAATTTTTCCTTTGAGGGAGAAAATTGGTTCTTTGTGACAATAATTGGTTCCTTGTGACAGGGGGGGAGTATTCTTAGATAGATCTGAAACAACATGTTATCTCATATATATGTTTCTTTTGATGTTTGTGCAAAGTCTACATAGTTTGCATGTAGCTTGTGTTTGATTAATATGGTTTTATTCCTCTCTCCAGTTTATCTGTGCTAAGGTTATTTTAGCCAAAATTTACCAAAGGGTGACATTGTTAGATCCATGGTTTTATGATTGGTAGAAATTTTTCTAAAATATGGTTCATGATAGATGCCGAGAAAGATGTCATAACATCTTGGTCAAACTAATACAATAGAGTGTTCAGGTTCATTGCAGAAAGATATTCTAATAGATGTTATGACATGTTAAACCAGAACATCAGTACAGTTTGTTTTAAATCTCGACAAATTTGATTTGTTTTGTGATGTTTATTTTGGATATATCTCAATAAATTTCGCAGGTCAAGAAGATTTAATATAGAACAAGTGATCTAATCTCCAACTATAAACAAGTTGCCAAAATTTTAAGATGAGACAATTTAGGAAACTTTATCTTTTGTTCCAAGATTTAAGGAGATTTTTATGCATAATTTATGCAGCCTTCGACTTGGGGATCAAGAAATATTTGGGTGAAGATTTTGAAGCCCATGGAGTACTGAGGTGTATTTAAAGTGAAATCTAGACCTAATGTAATTTAACTTTAACAATTGTAAAATTAGGGGAAATCAAAAATCTTAGGTTTTGAGAGTCTCTTGTGTTTTTGTAAGTCACCCACGTATCTTTTGATACATAGTGGTAGATTGTTTGCTACTTGATTGTTTGTCAAGTTATTGTTCTTGGTTGAAGCTTTTAAGAAAAACTAAGTATTTTTATCACTCACGAGATTTTAAGCGAAGAGTTTAGTATTGTTTATTGAAAGTGTAAACTTCTATTTGGTTTTAATTCTAGTCACAAGGTTTGTGACTGTACGTATCACTGTAGTGATTGGAAGTGAGAGGAGGATCTCATATCTATATGATGATTTCTAGGTAGAAGTAGCACAAGGTAGGGATCAGGAGAGAAGTTGTAAATTGGGACTGTTTAGACTTTGAATTAGTATTATCATAGTTAATTTTCTTCTTGGATTGGTAGCCTCCAGAGTGTGTGATGTTGCACCGGAATGAGTTAACAATTTGCTGTGTTATTTATTATTCTGCAATTTATTTTACAATTTGATACTATTATGTATCAATATTAGATGTCTTAACATTTGTCTTGACATTATGTTCTGATGTTGGATCATCAGTATTAACATGTGTTGAAAGTGCCAAAATTTCAGGTACTTTCCGCTCTTTCAGCTTTGGGAATTCAGGGTAAGTCTTTTAATGTTCTACATTCAAGATTTCTTGATTCTGGTGCATCCAATCACATGATGGGTTCCTCTGAAAAGTTGCATAAATTTACGTTCTTATCATGGTAATTAACAAATTCAAATTGTTAATGGTAATAACCTATCTATCACTAATGTTGGTGACATAAACTCTGACTTTCGAGATGTACTTGTATCACTTGGTCTTCCTTCAAGTACCATTTGTCCCAATCCTCAATTCCGTAAGTCAAGTCCCACACTGCATGGGATGGACTCAAATGCTCCTCTTGAAGCTACTCACCTAGCAACCAAACTTCCCTCTGAGTCCACACAACCACACCAGGCTGAGTATACTCTTACAACCTTAGGTCCTCTAATACCCAGTGGTCATAACCATGAAATATTGTGTCCACTGATAACTTCCATGAATCATATGCTCCCTCCAACTCTACACATCACTACTTTAATCTTAATCAACCAGCCTCTAGCTTTGAACATATGCAACACCAATCCAACTCTCACATTAGCTTATCCAACAAGTCACCTCAGATAACTAATTCATCCATTTCCAATTATCCTTTATGAACCACAAACTCTTTGTCACCTTTTTTTCACAATCAACCTACACCTCCATCTTAACTAGTTAATAACTATTCAATGCTTACTCGAGCCAAAATAGGTCACTTTAAACCCAAAGTGTTTATGGTATGTTCATAACCAACAACAACTAAACAAACACTAGCTAATCCTGGTGGCTTAAAGCAATGCAAACTGAGTTCAACTTTCTTCTTAAGAATAGGACCTGGACTTTAACTACTCTTCCACCTCACAAGAAAGCGATAGGCTGCAAGTGGTTCTTCAAAGTTAAGGAAAATATAGATGGCTCCATAAAAAAATACAAGACAAGACTTGTGGCTAAAGGCTTTCATCAACAAGAAGGATTTTATTTCTATGAAACCTTTTCACATGTGGTCAAGCCATAAACCATAAGGGTAATACTCTCACTAGCTCTCACTTTCAAGTGGGATATTCAATAAATTGATGTTAATAATGATTTCTTGAATGGTGACCTTCAAGAGGAAGTGTACATGCAACAACCTACAGGGCTTGTGATCAGTGATACCACACTCGTGTGCAAACTTCAAAAGGCTATCTATTGACTCAAATAAGCCACTAGGGCTTGGTATGAGAAGTTACATCAGACATTACTTCAATTTGGCTTTATCTCGAGCAAATGTGAACACCCACTCTTCATCTACCAACACCAAAATATTACACTTTATGCCTTGGTGTATGTAGATGATATCCTAATTACAGGAACATCCTCCTCATTGATTATAAATTTGGTCTCAAGAAACTTGGGAAGCCACAAAACTTTCTAGGAGTTAAAGTTCATGAGCACCACAATAGAGCAATCCTTCTCACTGAAACTAACTACATCAAATACCTATTAGCCAAGGCAAATATGCTAGGCGCAAATGGAGTCAACTCACCTATATTCAACACATTCAAACTCATTAGGCATGACACCGATGTTATCTCATATCCTATTCTCTATGGTCCATAGTTGGTGCACTTCAGTATGTCACCTTAACTAGACCAAAGATAGCTTTCAGTGTCTACAAGGAATGTCAATTTATAGCTTAACCATTGGAGTCTCACTGGAGTGCAGTCAAGCATATCCTTCATTATCTCAATGGTATTTCATATCATTGCTTACTTCTTAGTCCAATAAACTCAGTGAAAAACCTGGTTCTCAAAGCCTACAGTGACTCTGATTGGGAAAATGACTCTGATGATAGACACTCCACATTTAGCTCGTGTGTATATCTTGGCCCCAATCTCATATCATAGAGTTCCAAAAAAATATCATTGGTGGTACGCTCAAATGCAAAAGCTAAGTATAGAGCACTTGCACATACTACAACTGAGTTATTACGGATAGAATCACTCTTTGAAGAATTACGCACGTGTAAAGCTTGAAACACCAACGTTGTTGTGTGACAACATTAGTGTAGTCATGGTTTTCCACAATCTCGTGCTTCATGCAAGGACAACACATATTGAGCTCGACATCCATTTTGTACGTGAAATGGTGGCTGCAAACAAGCTTATCATCCAACATATCTCTAGAACATTGCAAGTGGCAGATGCACTTACCAAGCCTTTGTCACATACAGTTTTTCATGAGTTCAAGTCCAAGTTCTAAGTTGTTTCCTTGATCCAACTATGAACTTGTGGGAGAATATTAGAGTGATATATAAGATTGAATAAGTTGGTTAAGAGTTAATTGTTATAGTTTAGGAAAGTTAGTTATAGAATCCTAACTAACTTTCACACTCTCCAACTAATTTTGTAAAACTTGAACCAAACTATATATATTAAGCTTCATATGTGGTAAACACTTAATGAACAATACACTCAAGATCTCATGCAAAGTGTGAGATCATGATTTCATCAACTTCATCTTCTTCATTGTTCATTCTCATTCTCATTACTATACTCCAAAATATATTTCAGCATCACAAGCAGCATGGCAAGTTACATCAAACTTATGAATATAAGTAAATATTGTTTAACTCATAACCATAGTTTTTAGAATATATAAGTAAATATCGTTTATAGAGTTACACATATGTCAAAGTCGGTTTTATTATACTCCCGTAGTCTAAAATAAAACAAAGTTACATTAAACTTGTGAAAATCAAATGGAAAAATTGGTTGAAACAATATTTTGTTAATTTGAATAGCCAGTAGAAACTGATGACAGATTTGCACATACACCATCAAATGCTCTACTAGTTCCTTCAATTTTTCTTACTCTTGCTAATCTTTATTAGCAGAGGATCAAGCAATGAGGGAATGCAAATTCCACAGAACATGTCTACTTCTTGTGATTTAGAGGTATCATTAGAACAAGAATCCCTTGCTAATGGTTTGTTCTCTTTTTCTTCAAATCTTATTGTGTTTGGGAAGTATAAGCGGCTTCTTTCACCTGCTCTGATTCCAATTAGATGCCCGAGGGATACACTGTTGTCTTTAAAGAATGATGCTGTTGACTGGTTGTTCCAACACATAAAAGAAGTTAGAAATTTAAGAGCAATTTATTAACATGTCCTCTCTTGGTCTATATGAGATGATGCATTACTTTGTGAAGTTCAAAAATTCTACATTTTGATGTTTACATTAACTCAATGCTAAAATTATCACACCACTGTTGTGGCAAACTTTGGTAAAATGGAAGAAAAAAAATCAATTGTATGTGATTTTCACTCAATATTCTAAACCTAGATCGACTTGGAGACACCTCTAAATCATGATTTTCGTGGTTCAATCGCAATTGAACTATGTGATAAAACCTGTTGAACCAATTATGAATTTATGATTCAACTCAACTCAACACCGACTCAATTAGTTTGCAATGTAATTCGTTTGGTTTCTATACATCGCAACAAATTCAAAATGTATCACTCTTCATAATTATTAAACTACATAGACGTATTTGGTGTCAAACATATATCAATGTCTAACAATGTATGACATCGACATGATATTGATACATTTGATTATATTTATTTTAAAAAATTATATTTAATATACATATTAGCATATCAGTGTCGGTTTCATGTCTAGTATGCACTGTGTTTCACGTAGTGTCATTTTCTTTTTTTTCCAAAATGGTTTATTGTTAAAGAAATGAGAAAAACATTGTAATATCAAAGTACAAAACTACAAATAGTTAAAAAGGAAGAAAATTGGGAACATTAGTGAATTAAATTACCTCAGTGTCAAGGTTGGAGGATGTGACTGAAGAAAAACTTGTGGAAGGAATATGCAATGACAATGAGTATGGCTCAGCTGAAACATTATTTGCTGGAAGTGATTCCACAACTCTTAGCCTCATATTGAGAATACCAAGACCAAATGGCCACCCAATAGGAATCTCATCATTCTGAGAACAATAGATAGCAGTAAAAAACATGTTATAATTCAATATAATTGTTGAATAAAACAAGATTGAACATACATTACATATAATTGAATGCTTTATACACATGTATATATGGGCTAGCTCATTTCCCTAGATATAATTCCCATTCCCAGATCCAATTCCACATTCAATCGTACTTTGGCCCACATCATGTGGCAATGCTAGATTTCCACCAACTATTATTAAATACATGAAACTCTATAAAGTCAAAAATATATAGTAGATTCATTGTTCCAGTGAGATCACACACATTCGAGTGATACTATAAGTTACTAAAATTATCAAATAATAATATATGTGATAGGGGACCATGAAGATACTACCACATAGTACATAACATGTTGATGTTATTACTAGAACTGTTGTTTCACTTCAAACCACATTCTTACAATTTACTTCAGACAACAAACTTTGATGGTTTTTAATGAAATGTTAACTCATACACCCACCTATATTTTCATAACATGTATTTACAATAAGGGCCCTATAAACAAAAGGATCTTTTGTTACAAGTAAAGTCCATCTGAAAAGTACAACTTTTCCTGTCTATATACAGATTCATATAGATATGCTTTTTATTCTTCATGCCAGGAAATTATTACCAATTGCAATGAACATTACTTTCACCTAATAACAAAAATCTCAGCACAAAATCAGATTCATCAAAACAACAACATATATGATAAACTGGCTCTGGCTGAATCAATGCAAGATAAGAATGAAGAAGAAAAAGCAAATATATTATAAGAAGAATTACCTGTGAAACCACCATGTTGTTTCTGTGTGTGAGTGGACCGTAGCTAGAAAGAAGTTGATGGGAAAATGATGATCACTGAGAAAAAAAATTGAATGTTATTGTTCGAGAGAGAGTGTGAAACTAATTGAGAATTTACGTGTCTCCTAACTAGTATAGTAATATTAATTCTTATAAAAAGTTCGACATTTAAGACTCAAGGTCCCACTTTCAAAATTAATTTAATTGCCAAAAAAATTGTTTATTTTTATTCTTGTCATTTGGAAATAGCGTAAAACTAATTCATTTGAATTAATGATCCATGTTGCAGGTCTTAACTGAAAAGGAGTATATTATTACTATTATTAAGTTACTATATATCAATTTCAAATGATAAATTTTTATGGTAATTTCCAAAATAAAATAATTAAAATATGGAAATTTCTAAAAAAAAATAAAAAAAATAAAGGAGAAAATTTGGTATACCATATAATTTTTCTTTTTGATTAAAAAGCAGAATTTTTATTGATAAACTGCCTGAAAAGTTTTTATTTCCATTGTGATTGTGCCGATCCATTTGGATCCAATTGTTAGCCGTAACGACACTTTGAGCAAGCTTGTGGGCCTGAATGTTATGATTCCGCGAGGATTTAAGATTCTCACTCTTCAATTATACATGTTATTCTCTATTCAGTAGTAAAATTATCGAAAAATCTCTATAAAATATCGGAATTTTTAAAATTCTCGGTTTTGCATTAAAATTTTGTTTAATTTACAAATTTTTGCTGTGGCCTATGCATGTAATCGGAAATTTTAAATTTTCGGTATTTGTCTTTCCTATGTATATCGAAAATTTAAAGTTTTTGGTAGTGTTTACCGTGAAAATTGGTAAACAACTGCTGATCTTTTAAAAAGGATTATTTTGGTGACTTACAGGATCGATCAGATTGATCCTAGGACATATGTTAAGTTATTTATAAGTAAGTAAGTTTAAGTGAAAATGGTTGAAAAAGAAATTAAGAGTAAAGGCAAGATGCAGGCGAAAACTTGATAAAAGTGCAAGTAAAAAGTAAATAGAAAGGGTTGAGAAGAGTTTAAGGATAAAGGTTGAAAAATGATAAGAAGTGCATGTGAAGGGCAGAATAAAGTAAATTTGCAGTAATGATAAAGTTTGCGAAGGAATGTAAATGGCAAGGAATGTAAAGGAATTGTAAAGACTTTGATTGAAATAAAAGATGGTGTTTCAAACGTACATTCTCAATATCTTTTCTCTCACAGCGGGTACTTCGATAAGATTGAGTGACTTGTACCATAGGTTGAACACACGGGAATCTACATAAAATCCCTATATTTATACTAAAACTAAGTAACCGTCGAATAGTTGCCTCGTTCCAAGATGAGGACAAGTGCCCTCTGGATGTGCTTCGACTTCTATCTTCATGCCACGTCGCTTTTCTCAACTCCCAAGTAAACTACCTTTCCTTCCTTTCTTCAGATCCAAAATTACTTGTTGTTGATACAAAGCTTTTCGGTCGAAGTACAAAGGCTTTTCGGTCGAAGACTATTTCCAACTTAGAAAATTATCTCTAAGTGTTCCTTCTCCTCTTAGCAAGGTTTCGACATGACCAACTTCAATAGGCTCTTCTGTCGAAATGTCTCCAACTTAGATTTTTTCAATCAATTTTTTGGCCAATAAGACCAATATGTTGTGGGTGTTGAATTTAGGAGCTAACAAATTGCCTTCCAAGAATGTCAATTTCGACGCAAGAAGAAATAATCATTCTTTGATGTCTCTATTTGACACCTGTAAGCTTTTTGACCACAAAAGCTTATCGTACACTTTTATCTTCCACCAACTACTGCTGGTATCAGAGTCATCATTACACTTTTCCAAGACGTCACTATCAGTCAGCCGTTACACGCTGCCATGATAGCCATTATCCCTATAACCTAGGAAAGCATGGCAAACGTCTCCATTACCTGTTTGTATAACTGCCTTAAAGCTCACCATGTATCCCACTCACTCTGCAGCATTAAACGGTTTTGAGGGAAAACACTCTTCCCTGGCCACTATAAATAGCTACGAGTACTTCTCTTTGGAATTTTTACAAACGCCTGAAATTCCTTGTTTCCCTGTATTCAAAAGAAACCTTTGAGAACTTCATCTCTTTCATCTTTCTTCTACCAACGTAGCCATGGCTTTCCTCTCGAACGCTCCAAACAACCCCAAAACCAAAGATGCCTCTGATTTACAATAACAACCAGAAGTTTTCGCAACTAGCTCTATCCCTGCCTCGACTGGGGAACGAAGGTTCGTTCCGGAACCCATGACTAAAGAATGGCGTGATGCCTACAACTCACAGGTACTCATTCATGTTAGATATTTTGGGCAAATGTATACCATGTCTGGTCCATTGTCTGCGTGTATCGAAAACCCTAAGTAGAACAGCGCTTTCTTCCCAACTCACCCTAGGATCAAGCCTACAGGTTACGCAAAGAAGCCCAGAGATGAACCTGAGGATGTAACTCCTTCTAATCAACAATATTATCAGACGAAAGAAGACATAAACCTCCAGTTTATGAATAAAGGGGGCCAAATCTTTAATTCTTGCCCTAGCCTGACTTCGGAATATTCAGAATGGTTGAATAAGATGGAAACAGTGCAAACTCAAATCTGGAAAGACATGGGGATTTATGATCTGGTCATGCTATCGAAGATTGGGTTATCTTATTGTCCCCTCATGTTGGTATCCTCTTTGTACTTTTGGGATAACGCATATTTCACCTTCCATTTACCTTGTGGAATGGTGACCCCTACTCTCTTCGACATAGCAGCCATCACTGGTCTTCGACCAAATGGTGACTACTTTGATCCGGAGGATATGTCTGAAGATACCATTGGGTTTTCGGCTACAAAACCCACATATACTACTTTCATCAACCACTTTCATGACAAATCCAACAACATTGTTTCTGAAGTGGAACACATAGCTTTTTTAGCTTTATGGTTATCTCGTTTTGTCTTCTGTACCAAGTCACTCCAAGTGACAAAGAAAATGCTCACTCTTGCTACTCAGCTTCATCATGGCCACAATCTTTGTTTGTCCGAATTGATTTTGACCAACCTTTATGAGTCCATCAATAATGGTGTGACTCAACTTAAAGTTATAGGTGATAGAGCCAGTTTTCTCCTTTCTGGCCCTTTCTGGCATCTCCAACTTTGACTCAATGCCACGTTTGAATCATTTCTTCCCCATAAGAATAAAATCAATGAGAAATCCCCAGAGATCCTTAACAGGAGGGTCGAAGGCACCAGGTTGGCTCTGTTGACTCCAACAGATGAAGGTCAACAATTTCAGAAAGCATTTACCAGCTTCATAATGATGTTTGCGAAGCGCAAGGAATTCATTTCGACCATGGACCCCTTTTCCAATCAAAAGGTTGGTCCGGTATGGTTTACTCGACCATATCCCTCGATTGAGGATAAGGATTTTTAGGAAGATTATGTGGCTATTTGGGAGTCTTTTCTTCGCCCAAGAATTATGCCACTGAGATTCAAAAGTTCGGAGAATCAACTGAGCTTGATTTCTTATCAACTGAACCTCGTTTCTCGCTAGTTTGGCATAATTCAATCACTCCCAAACCCAATCTATACTCGAGAAAAGTCTTTGTTGTATTATAATGCAGACTATTCGGAGGAGGTTGCTATCAAGAAAATTGGTAGGTACATTGGTCGAACCGTACTAACCTTGTTTGACTTCAAACTCAACTTTCTGTGTTCGCCCATCTTTGAAGGCTGGTGGAAGCAATACTACGACGAAGAGTTCTTCGATGCAAAATACTTTGCTGACCATCTTCAAGAGGCATTTCTGTTGGTCTCCGACAAGATCAAGAAATATGCTCTTTCTTCTTTAGAGAAAATGCCTTATTTTTCTTTGATTTAATCATTTGATATATGGCTCATGTTTGCTTATTTTCTAGCCGTCAAGAGAACCACTATCAAGAAATTCGCTGAAAGCGCAAAGGGAGGAGACCCTTCTGAAAAACCTCCATCACAAGTAAATACTTTTCGCCCTTAATTTCCTTTAACACATCACCAATGCTGACGTTTTCGACTCTTTTCTTTTTAGGCCACTAAGAAAACTACGCCAACAAAGAGGAAAGTCCAGGAAGTCACACTCTCTAGTGATGATGAAGACACGCCTTTTATCCCTCTCAAGAGACAGAAGAAGCCAACTCCCATTTTTGAACCTCTCCCGAAAACCAAGATTAAGGTTACGGCCACCAGGTCTAAACCTACTCATATCATCATTCAAGAGCCAACTGAACAAGAAATAGTTGCTAGAATGAATGATCCAAGCGAGAGAGACAATTCAAGCCCTGGTGCTGAAGTTCCACCCAAGGTAATAATTTCGACCATCTAAGATTATTCCTTGAATTAGTTTTGAAATAATTCTAATAATAATCTCTCAACCCAGGACACTGTTGGAACTTCCAAACAGGCTCCCATACCTGTAGAAGATTTTGTCACCTTACTAAACAGTGAAGGCAATCCCACTTACAGGCCTTCTTCAGCGAAAGGATCTTTTGTAAGTTCAACCAGCGAGGTGAACCAGACTTCTGAACATCAAACTGCAGCCACTGGGGATCTAAATAAAGAAGTCTTTAGTGAGGAAGATTCTGACTTGCCACACGCGAATCTCAGGACTCCACAGGCTACCGATTATGAGCAGGGAGAAGAAGAAGAAGAAGTTGTTGACGATGAAGTTGAAACAGAAATGGAGGGTGCACCATATGGAGGAAATTAAAATGAGGACAATCCTGCGTCTGCTGATAGAGGAAACTCCGCAGAGGGGGAGAGAAATCCTACAAACGTTGAAGGTGTCCATGTCCAACTACAGGATCTATCAGTCGGAGAAAATGTGGCTCGTATCACCAATGAAAGAGTTACTTCGACAAGATCCCGTACTAAAGAGGACTTGGTGCTACTTAAACGGAATAACCCTCTTGGCTATTTGAATGTCATTCTCGAAGGCATA